TATGCGAGGCACGGACAGTTACTGCGCACTGGTCCGAGTGAACGGTTCTGTCTGGGGGTTGACGCGAAATATATCCGGTATCCTAACACCGTGTTTCACTCAACCCCCTGCGCCCCACGACCAGAAGAGGCAGTGCTCAATTAGGGATCCATCTAAATAAGATCTCTAAAACTCTGACTTTGACTTGACAGCAATGAAATGTTAAGAGCTCTTAATGACCAGCAGTGTGATTCTGTTAGACTTCATTCTAAACTTCGAATCTGAATCCGCCGTGAGTAGTAGTACACTAGCGCTACACTTGCGAGTTGAACTAAATTGACAGCATCATTTTGATAGATAAAGTATGAGATGACGTTAAAAGTGGCATTCTAAAATTTAATTTCTCCGTCACTTCGACGCTTACTTCGCACTCGAACACGATTCAAAATCAAACAAATTTTATAGAATCGACTTTAAAAGACAATGATGTAATGATGTAATATTTAATCATGTTGTTTCTACACAAATGATAATCTACTAAATGTTGGTTGGTTTGTTTCAGCTTTGTTCATACTACTCTTACAATGGGTACCATCTCTGCTGATGCCTCTACTTCAAGAAGATGCATCCATTCTTGACAATATACCGGTAATTATTTATATTTCTTTTTTAAGGCCAATATTTGTTTTAATTTTCTAAAGGGCAGGTATTTTTCCGCTATCACGCCTGATGGTAAGTGATTATGAGATCTGCAACGGAGTACGTCTATCCATAAGCAACCTATTTACTCGGGCCTTGAAGACCCCCAGTTTACACGCTTCGGGGAACATAGACTCCAATAAAGAATTATATTAAAAGTTTCTTTAATGTATAGTATTATATTTCTATAAAGGACCGTGAGCCAATTAACAATTTTAGTATACTAAGTTTAGTATGCGGAGATAAAGTGGATAGAAAAGTCACACTGGTGTCAGGTTTCGAACCAGCGTCCGTGATAAGCGGGTGCCATAACCAGCCGCCACGACGACATACTTAAGCATTTGACTGCTGACAAAAACTGTTGAAGGTTAAACCTCCGCTAGCGTCGGACACCATTGTCCAACATGGCGTTCTAAGTGTAGAACACAATAAAATTGATACTGAAAGAATAAAATTTTCAGGTATCTACATCCAAAAATTCTTCTGAAATAGTACTAAATGATATAGATCAAGATACGATACAAGACATTGCTGTTAAAGAAGGCGAAAATTTAATTAAAATTAGTTTCAAAGAAATGGTAATCAACAATCATGAATGATATTATTTTTTTCGTCGAAGGAGTCGAAGTCATCTTGTGCGTGGATCTGTTCTAGCTTATATTTGCTTGCAATCAATAAGTCTTCCAATTAAAGACTACATAGAAACCTAGTTACAATTGGAATTCATCTTCATAATTTTGGCTAAAAACTGCCCACCTTGATTCTCCTTAGTTTTTTCCACCTAAGAAAATCGGCAAAATTAAAAATCACCGCTTTATGGTAGATATCCCACCCACACGTACGTTTTTTTCATCACAGCCGCTAAGAAGTGGAATTCTTTTCCGGGGACTGAGTTGTCCAAATGGTCTTATCTGGGTGTCTTCTAGGTCCGAAATAAAGAGTTGCTTATGGGTAAGCGTGGTCCATCGTAAGTCTCATCATCGCTTACTCCAAGGTGACATAGAGGGCAAACGGGGCATGGCAAATAAAAAAAAATCTTTCAATCATCTCTAGTGACTATTCTGATACTTAACCAAAAGCAGATATGAAAACTAATGCAACCTTTATTTTACAGACAATAGACCCAGATGTTGCCAAAATCGATGAAAATGTACCAACGAAAGTGGAGAAGTCAAGAGTAGGTAATGCAAAGGTGACTCCGTCAGATATAAATGATAGAATTTTAACCGAAGTTAATGCTGCAATCGAAGCCATAACAGAAGTCAATAATAAAGAAGATGATAAAAATACCAAATCCAAACTGAAAACCCCAAATGGTACTGTTGTTAGTCACGATATTAAAAACAAAGATCAAGATTCGAATGATCAAACTACAACTACTTTAGGGCCACTGTAGTCGGAATAAGGATTCTCTAAAAGTAAAAAGAATGATATAAAAATAAAAAATCATACTTAAAGCGATAAAAAACTATCTGAACAGTTATTTTGATTATTGACTCTGCAAATATATGCTTATATTATGTTTTATAACTAAATTATTCAATTAATAATGAATCTATTAAAGTATTTTTGTTTTATTTTAAATAAGTAAAGCAAATTAGGCTACAGTAGACTTTAATTATGAAAAACAATGTTTTATTTATGTTGAGAGTGTAGTAAAAAATAATGCTAAAAGAAAACGCTAATGTTGATTTTCCAAAATAATTTTTGTTACTTAATTCAGCAATTATTAAAAATGTACTGACTAACGCCGATCCTGTGAATTACTCAGCAACGAATACTAACTGTGAGACATAATTTTACGATTTAGAAATATCAGAACCGAAAACAGTTGGTACTTTAAAAAACAATTCCAATTTCCCTTCAAAAGTTAATAAAAAATAAAAATCACAATCCTAAATTCCCATTATGAATACAATCGATGACTTTGACTTTGATGAAAACGATAATTTAAATGTTACAGATAATGACACTCCAGTAAATATAAATGATGATTCGGAGTTTCCAAAAGCAGGATTACCTGTTTTTAGATCTTTGATACCACTGACACAGCTAAGACAACAACTACCAATATCTTTAATATTACCAAAAAATTATCAAATGATACCACGAGAAAATTTGGCTACAGACAACTCACCGATCGACGGTCTATTTGGTAACGCATTTAATTTCATCAGAAGATTAAAAAGAGACAGTGAACAGATAGAAAAGAAAAATTGTAGCTTAATTAACAATGATGAAAATTGTAAACCAAAAACTATGAAAAAGATAAAAATTGATTTGAGTTCTGAATCAGCTAAGAAGGCTTTTGAAGATATTTTTAATATTAATAAAGTAGGCCATAGTCACGAAGAAACATCGTCAACGGAACTGAGTTGTCCTCTAACAGTTTTTCTCAAAGTAATGTATGAAGATATTTCCAAACAATTAACTTCGGACGGATCTGTTATTCCGAAAAACGTTGCTGCGATTTTGAACTCTATATCTAAAGGGGACAATGATTCTTTACGTCTGTTTAATAAAGAATTGTCTGAGGTACCTTTTCCTACAAAATTCAAAGTGCAATTAGAAAATGGTGACGAAAAGAATTTTTTGAAAGAGTTATCTGATTATGTTGATACTACGCTCTGTTCTTTAACTAAATAAAGTGAGATTAATTGGCAAAATAAAGCGATAAAGCACAGAACTATTAATTTATTTTCCTCTCAAACTATTAACTTTCTAGGAAACAAATCTAGGAAAAACATAAAAATACATCCTATCTTCTTACGTCTTCCATCTTATTTCTACCTTCATTTATTCCCCTTCACTCTTCATCGTTCCTAGTAGCTTATACAATTCGGCCGACGTATCTTGGCGAGTCTGAAGTTAGTCTGTGCAATGGATCTTTTAGGAGCAAAATTGTGTACTGCGCAGCAACGTCGGCCGCACTGTACATTCCTACCTGCTCATTCATGCGTTCCCTTTCACTCAATATTCACTCCAAAGTAATTTGTTTTAGAATAAAGCTCATATTATTTACATAAACAAGCTTTTCTTTAACGTTGGCCCACATTAGGATTTCCTCCTGTGTTGTGGGCGCTAACCTAGAGCTAATATACAGAGTGGGTAGATATAGCGAACCAGAAATGGGTGAATTAAAACGTGATTGAGAGCCATGCTTCGGCACAAATGGATCGGGTTGATTGGAGTGATACCACGGCATCACCGGGAAACCGACGTGAAACAACCACAACATAGTGTTTCACCGTGTGAGTGAGGTTACTGGAGGCCCAATTTCTAAGAACAACGCACTCGGAACTTCTCTGTTGTTGAGTTTCCATGGGCGGCGCTAACATAAAAGACCTGTTTTTGAGACACAGGCATCTTCGAAACAGAAAAACACTTTTAAAACATGAAACTTTTTATTTACAACTTTATCGCACCTTTCAATTTTTAGTTAAAGTTATATAATCACAATAATAATACCTAAATAATAAATAATAATACTTATCCTACATCAATAAGAAAGAAGGGCACGATCTATTATTTTCAAATACAATGTATAATTATATTAATGATAATAAATAATTATATAATTAAAACATAATTCTTGTAAAAATATATTTGAAAATAAATCAGATTCTTTTATTTTTTGTAAATTTAAGTTGTTTTTACAATAAAAAAAAATTGATTATTGATGTGAAATGAATCGAGAAATCTTGGGTCTTATGACCACGTCGAAAGATAATTGACCTAACACAAAAAATATGTGTATTATTGACATAAAAATAAGATACAAAAAAATTACAAAAAATGTTGAGATGGGTTTGTTTAAAGACATAATGAAAACGTGGTCAGCCCTACTAAAAGATTAATAAAATCCAGCTACATAAATATATTTTATACTGTCTCTAATTAAAGCTAAATTATTATCACAAGAAACAGAGATACATCCTCCATCTCTATCTTTTAGCAGACTTCTCACTCCATCGTCACAAAATAATCAATTTTAAAAACAACATTATTTTAAAAGTTGTAGATCTTAAAGTTTCATTACTAAGCATAATAATATTATGTATATACAAACTCATTTACTGAGTAATTCATTCTTTATGTATAGAGTCTTTTTTATATAAATTTGTCAAGTGGTACTTTTAGTGCCATTTCATAAAACAACTCTGTATGAGATAAAACTCATTTAGAAAGTGATAAATCGTGTTTATATTATTATTTCTTTTGTATTACTCAGTAAATGAAATAGTGCCAAAGTCATTTTGTTCAGTAATCATAGCGTCGATTGATTAGTTTTGTCGAAATCGAGTCAGGTGAATTTCTGAAGCTCAGTTTTGAATTAATTTCATTTTGTTGTATGTGCAACCTCCTTCAGCGATGGGGACACAATTCTGAAAGGAATAAAAATAAAGTAGGTATAATATTGGCATTATATAGACAACAAAATGAGGACAAAAAATATTTTAACTGAAGCTGATTTTAAAATGGAACTAAGAATAAATTGGGTGTCACATTACTAGAAATATAAATATTCCTACAGATACTAGGAAGCCTTAAGAAATATCCAATTCATCAGGAGAAAATCTGAACTTATAATTTCTAATTAAGTATATATTTCAAATCGTAAATCCGACTTGAGCAAGTGTGTGCAAGAGATTAATGCTCAAATCTTCTCCGTGTAAGAAGAGGCGTTTGCTCAGCAGTCAGCACTTATAGGTGATGACGAAATCTTTGCAAACTTTCTCATTTGTATTGTTCGTAAGAAGCAGTAATTACCTGCGTAGCGTGATCGAATTCGTATCCTACAGAACAGTACATCTTCACACCATATCCTGAGATGCATTTGTAGTACGCTGTACATGTGCTAGGGTCTGCCAAAATGTGACCTTCGTCATCAGGGCATGTGAAGGTTGCTGTGGTCTTCCACTGGTCTATACTGGATTTTTGTAAAATGGCAGCGGATTTCGCTTGCGTCTTTTGAACATGCGTACACCTTCCTTCAACTATTGTCACGCACATCTGTAATAAAATGTAATTGTTGTCTATAGTAATATAATTAAGAGGTGGAATCGATAAATTGCCAAGATGTTTCTGAGTGCTATAAAACACGCTACGATCTATAGCAGCCAAGCAGCGAGTAAAACCGCGCGAGGGTAGCTAGTCACCAATATTGCCAATAGTTCGACATCTTTTTTCCCCTTACAATGTAATGTAATGATGTAAATGGTAATTCTCTAGAGTTATTACTCTAGAGAATATGAATTGTCACTTTTTGGAAAGCTATTTTATCAGGTGGTTTCAAAATTTCCGGGACTAAGTCCGGATTTAGGTTAAAACATAGACGTTTAGCATTTTGTAATCATTGAAACTACTGAAACTGTAATCGTTCAAAATTCTCTCACACATATGTAAATACGTTGCAAGTGAAAAAATATTAAAGTTGCGCAAAAGGCTTCTGCGAGTTGGTTTTCGCCCCTCGTACGCCTTCCAAGGGTCCGAGACCCTTTTGCCTCGTGGATGGAAACAACACATAATAATAATAAAATTCATTGTTTTAAAACGGTTATCAATTTTTAGTCACACCTTTAACGAACGGCAAAATTCGATCATTTCTTGGCAATTCCCCTAACACTTGTCACCGGTGATCTTTGAATGTAACTAGTTCATAAAGATTTTAGCATATCACATGTTGTAATGTTACATACCCTGGTTTCAGGATCAAATTCCAATCCCTCGCTGCAAGTGAAGAGTAGAGCGTTGCCACCTGAGCAGAAGTAGAAAGCGTCGCATCTGTCTGGGTGAGGTACGTTGCCGAACTCGCCTGTAGCACAGATGGGAGCCTCAGTGGTAGTGGTGTCGGCTACCGTGGTTGTATCAGCTCCAGGAGTGGTACTGGTTATTTCTTCTGTGGTAGTTTCAGCTCCAGGATTTGTTGTTCTACTCTGCGTACATCCTCCTTCAGCAATTGGCACGCAAGCCTAGAATTAATATGTTTTCTTAGTTTCAAAAAGAAAACCTCTTTAAGATCTTTGGTAAAAATGGGCATACATAGAAAACCTAAATTAATTAAAGAAATAACCTCGGACTCTCTTTGAATCAAATACAAAATAAAATACATACCCTGGCTTCAGGATCAAACTCAAGTCCGGGGCTGCAAGTGAAAGGAATAGCATTGCCAGCGGAGCAGAAGTAGAAAGCGTCGCATCTCTCTGGGTGAGGTACGTTGCCGAACTCGCCTGGAGGACAGATAGGAGCCTCTGTGGTAGTGGTGTCCGCTACCGTGGTAGTTTCAGCTCCAGGAGTTGTAGTGCTTATTCCTTCTGTGGTTGTTTCAGCTCCAGGAGTTGTAGTGGTTATTCCTTCTGTGGTAGTTTCAGCTCCAGGAGTGGTAGTGCTTATTCCTTCTGTGGTAGTGTCAGTTCCAGGAGTAGTAGTGGTTATTCCTTCTGTGGTAGTTTCAGCTCCAGGAGTAGTAGTGGTGTCTGCTAACGTGGTAGTGTCAGCTCCAGAAGTTGTAGTGGTTATTCCTTCTGTGGTTGTTTCAGCTCCAGGAGTTGTAGTGGTTATTCCTTCTGTGGTAGTTTCAGCTCCAGGAGTTGTAGTGGTTATTCCTTCTGTGGTAGTTTCAGCATCAGGTGTTGTTGTTTTACTCAGCGTACATCCTCCCTCAGCGATTAGCACGCATGCCTAAAAATCACATTATATTTAGTTAAAAAAATTTAAAAATACGCTTCGCCAATAGTGAAGAAAGATTAGACATCTAATTTCTCATGTAAGGACTAATTAGGAAAAAGTCTAAATACATACCCGGGATTTAGGATCAAATTCCAATCCCTCACTGCAAGTGAACAGTAAAGCGTTGCCGCCAGAGCAGAAGTAGAAAGCGTCGCATCTGTCTGGGTGAGGTACGTTGCCGAATTCGCCTGGAGGACAGATAGGAGCCTCCGTGGTGGTGGTGTCCACTATCGTGGTTATTTCAGGTCCAGGAGTTGTAGTGGTTATTCCTTCTGTGGTAGTTTCAGCTCCAGGAGTTGTAGTGGTTATTCCTGCTGTGGTAGTTTCAGCCCTAGGAGTTGTAGTGGTTATTCCTTCTGTGGTTGTTTCAGCTCCAGGAGTAGTAGTGGTTATTCCTTCTGTGGTTGTTTCAGCTCCAGGAGTTGTAGTGGTTATTCCTTCTGTGGTTGTTTCAGCTCCAGGAGTTGTAGTGGTTATTCCTTCTGTGGTAGTTTCAGCTCCAGGAGTAGTAGTGGTTATTCCTTCTGTGGTTGTTTCAGCTCCAGGAGTTGTAGTGGTTATTCCTTCTGTGGTTGTTTCAGCTCCAGGAGTTGTAGTGGTTATTCCTTCTGTGGTAGTTTCAGCTCCAGGAGTTGTAGTGGTTATTCCTTCTGTGGTAGTTTCAGCTCCAGGAGTTGTAGTGGTTATTCCTTCTGTGGTAGTGTCAGTTCCAGGAGTTGTAGTGGTTATTCCTTCTGTGGTTGTTTCAGCTCCAAGAGTTGTAGTGGTTATTCCTTCTGTGGTAGTTTCAGCTCCAGGAGTGGTAGTGCTTATTCCTTCTGTGGTAGTGTCAGTTCCAGGAGTAGTAGTGGTTATTCCTTCTGTGGTTGTTTCAGCTTCAGGAGTTGTAGTGGTTATTCCTTCTGTGGTAGTTTCAGCTCCAGAAGTTGTAGTGGTTATTCCTTCTGTGGTAGTTTCAGCTCCAGGAGTTGTAGTGGTTATTCCTGCTGTGGTAGATTCAGCTCCAGGAGTTGTGGTGGTTACTCCTGCTGTGGTAGTTTCAGCCCCAGGAGTTGTAGTGGTTATTCCTTCTGTGGTAGTTTCAGCATCAGGTGTTGTTGTTTTACTCAGCGTACATCCTCCCTCAGCGATTGGCACGCATGCCTAAAAAAACACATTATATTTAGTTCAAAAATTTAAAAAATACGCTTCGCCAATAGTGAAGAAAGATAAGACATCTAATTTCTCATGTGAGGACTAATTAGGAAAAAGTCTAAATACATACCCGGGATTTAGGATCAAATTCCAATCCCTCACTGCAAGTGAATAGTAAAGCGTTGCCGCCAGAGCAGAAGTAGAAAGCGTCGCATCTGTCTGGGTGAGGTACGTTTCCGAACTCGCCTGGAGGACAGATAGGAGCCTCCGTGGTGGTGGTGTCCACTATCGTGGTTATTTCAGCTCCAGGAGTTGTAGCGGTAAATCCTTCTGTGGTAGTTTCAGCTCCAGGAGTTGTAGAGGTTATACCTTCCGTGGTAGTTTCAGCTCCAGGGGTGGTAGTGCTCATTCCTTCTGTGGTAGTGTCAGTTCCAGGAGTAGTAGTGGTTATTCCTTCTGTGGTTGTTTCAGCTTCAGGAGTTGTAGTGGTTATTCCTTCTGTGGTAGTTTCAGCTCCAGGAGTTGTAGTGGTTATTCCTTCTGATGTAGTTTCAGCTCCAGGAGTTGTAGTGGTTATTCCTGCTGTGGTAGATTCAGCTCCAGGAGTTGTAGTGGTTACTCCTGCTGTGGTAGTTTCAGCTCCAGGAGTTGTAGAGGTTATTCCTGCTGTTGTAGTTTCAGCTTCAGGCGTTGTATTTGGTGTTCCTTCTGTAGTAGTTTCCGCTCTAGTAGTTGTAGTGGTGTCTGCTAACGTGGTAGTGTCAGCCCCAGGAGTTGTAGTGGTTATTCCTTCTGTAGTAGTTTCAGCTCTAGGAGTTGTGGCGGTTATATCTTCTGTGGTAGTTTCAGCTCCGGGAGTGCTACTGGTTATTCCTTCTGTGGTAGTTTCAGCTTGAGGTGTTGTAGTAGTTATTCCTTCTGTAGTAGTTTCAGCCCCAGGAGTTGTAGTGGTTATTCCTTCTGTGGTAGTTTCAGCTTCAGGTGTTGTTGTTTTACTCAGCGTACATCCTCCTTCAGCAATTGGCACGCACGCCTAAAAAAACACAATATTTTTAGTTTCAAAGTTTTAAAATACACATAGCCATGAGTGAAGAGATATAAGATATTTAATATCTGATACGAGGCACTTATTAGGAAAAAAACTAAATACACACCCTGGATTCAGGATCAAACTCAAGTCCTTGGCTGCAAGTGAACAGTAAAGCGTTGCCGCCAGAGCAGAAGTAGAAAGCGTCGCATCTGTCTGGGTGAGGTACGTTGCCGAACTCGCCTGGAGGACAGATAGGAGCCTCTGTGGTAGTTGTGTCCGCTACCGTGGTTGAGCCACCTCCAGGAGTTGTAGAGGTTATTCCTTCTGTGGTTGTTTCAGCTTCAAGAGTTGTAGTGGTTATCCCTTCTGTGGTAGATTCAGCTCCAGGAGTTGTAGCGGTTATGTCTTCTGTGGTAGATGCAGCTCCAGGAGTTGTAGCGGTTATTCTTTCTGTGGTAGTTTCAGCTCCAGGAGTGGTAGTGCTTATTGCTTCTGTGGTAGTGTCAGTTCCAGGAGTTGTAGTGGTTATTCCTTCTGTGGTAGTTTCAGCTCCAGGAGTTGTAGTGGTTATTCCTTCTGTAGTAGTTTCAGCTCCAGAAGTTGTAGTAGTTATTCCTTCTGTGGTAGTTTCAGCTCCTGGAGGTGTAGTGGTTATTCCTTCTGTAGTAGTTTCAGCTCCAGGAGTTGTAGTAGTTATTCCTTCTGTTGTAGTTTCAGCTCCAGGAGTTGTAGTGGATATTCCTCCTGTGGTAGTTTCAGCTTCAGGAGTTGTTGTTTTACTCAGCGTACATCCTCCCTCAGCAATCGGCACGCACGCCTAAAAAAACAGAATATTTTTAGTTTCAAAGTTTTAAATTACACATAGCCATGAGTGAAGAGATATAAGATATCTAATATTTAGTACGAGGCGCTTATTAGGAAAAAAACTAAATACACACCCTGGTTTCAGGATCAAACTCAAGTCCTTGGCTGCAAGTGAACAGTAAAGCGTTGCCGCCAGAGCAGAAGTAGAAAGCGTCGCATCTGTCTGGGTGAGGTACGTTGCCGAATTCGCCTGGAAGACAGATGGGAGCCTCCGTGGTAGTGGTTGGACGCACTGTGGTGGAATCAGGAGTAGCAGTTATTGGTGCATCTGTATTCGTAATATCCCAGTTGTCTGGACTAGGTGTAGTTGTTATATCCCCCACTCCATCATCGATCGTCGTAGACAGTGTGGTAGATGTCACTTCATGTTCAGTAGTAATACTATCATCAGGTAGGATGTCATCTGGATCCCTTTCTGTTGTTGTGTCAGGCTGTTCAGAACTTGCAATAGTTGTTGTATCTACAGCTGGGGTCGTTTGAGAACCGAGCGTGCAACCACCTTCAGCAATGATGACACATTCCTAAAAAATTAATTGTATTAATTTACAAACTTCCAAAATGCCTTATTGAAATAAATTTGATGTCAGATGTTTTTTTTTTGTACTTCTACTTATAATTTCTTTTGAAGTCTACTTACTCTCACTTCAGGGTTGAACTCAAAACCTTCACTACAGAAGAGCTGGATAGCCTGGCCTCCTGTGCACATGTAGAATGAGTTGCACAGTTCTGGGTGTGGTATGTTACCATACTGGCCTTCTGCGCACAATGGCGCCTCAGTAATCGGAGCAGCTTCTGTTGTAGTGGTGGATTTTAGCGTGCAGCCTCCCTCGGCGATCAATACGCAGCCCTTAAAAAACATATATTTTTCGTTATATAATTGGAAAAATATACAAAGAGCAATAAATCTATTATTTTACTTTGAAAAATATTTCAGATTTCATGTTAGTAACGAGAATTCTAAATGTTTCAATAATTAGACAATATCATATTGACTCACCTTTGTCTCAGGATCGTATTCGTATCCGTCAACACAGAAGAGCTGCATAGGTTTATCTCCATTGCAAACAAAGAATGAGTCGCACAGCTCTGGATGCGCTACAGTTCCGAAAACTCCTAAACAAATCGATTCGTTCAATGCTGGGGTTGAGCTTGTCAAGATTCCAGGAGTTGTGCCAGAATTATTGTCTTCATTGGTTGTTGGTGCCTCAGTAATGTCACCAGGTGTTGTGGTAGAACCCAGAGTACATCCACCTTCAGCTATAATCACGCATGTCTGGAAAAATATGAAAATAATAATTATAAAAACACTCATTTATTTTAATTTTTTCTGTAATTTGTTCAGTCATTTGTATTTTGTTTGGTTGGTTTTGACTGAAAACTGCATTGAGTTTGGTCAAAAAAAGAGCTTACCTGTGCGTTAGGATCAAATTCAAGTCCATCAGCGCAAGTGAAAGGTATAGCTTGTCCGTTCACACATAAGAAGTATGAATTGCAGCTTTCTGGATTGGCAACATTGCCGAAGACACCTTCAGGACACGGGTCTTTGTCTGCCGCTACCGTGGTAGTTGACAAAGCTGGCGTAGTGTCATCATCATTGGGCGTACTTTCAGATCCTAATGAGTTATCGGGTGTAGTCATTCCAGGTTCGGTTGTAGTTTCCCCATCTTGCGTGGTTGAAGATGATGTGGAGTCTGAGTAACCATCAGTAGTAGACGGGGTTTGAGTAGATGTAGTAATCCCATCTGGAGTCGTTACTTCATCACTCACAGTGGTAGACCCAGGACTGGTGGTTCCGTCTGGGGTCGTTACTTCATCACTCACAGTGGTAGACCCAGGAGTGGTGGTTCCGTCTGGAGTCGTTACTTCATCACTCACAGTTGTAGACCCAGGAGTGGTGGTTTCGTCTGGAGTCGTTACTTCATCACTCACAGTTGTAGACCCAGGAGTGGTGGTTCCGTCTGGAGTCGTTACTTCATCACTCACAGTGGTAGACCCAGGAGTGGTGGTTCCGTCCGGGGTTGTTAGTTCATCACTCACAGTGGTAGACCCAGGAGTGGTGGTTCCATCTGGAGTCGTTACTTCATCACTCACAGTGGTAGACACAGGAGTGGTGGTTCCGTCTGGAGTCGTTACTTCATCACTCACAGTGGTAGACTCAGGAGTGGTGGTTCCGTCCGGGGTTGTTACTTCATCACTCACAGTGGTAGACCCAGGAGTGGTGGTTTCATCTGGAGTCGTTACTTCATCACTCACAGTGGTAGACACAGGAGTGGTGATTCCGTCTGGAGTCGTTACTTCATCACTCACAGTGGTAGACCCAGGAGTGGTGGTTCCGTCCGGGGTTGTTACTTCATCACTCACAGTGGTAGACCCAGGAGTGGTGGTTCCGTCTGGAGTCGTTACTTCATCACTCACAGTTGTAGACCCAGGAGTGGTGGTTCCGTCTGGGGTCGTTACTTCATCACTTACAGTGGTAGACCCAGGAGTGGTGGTTCCGTCTGGGGTTGTTACTTCATCACTCACAGTGGTAGACCCAAGAGTGGTGATTCCATCTGTGGTCGTCCCTTCGTCATTAACAGTGGTAGAACCAGGAGTGGTCGTTTCCTCACTACTGTTAGGAGTTGAGCCGGTTACTCCGTTGCTATCCGTCGTCGTCTGCATAGTAGTAGTCGATGGGAAGCCGTCCGGTGTAGTGACTGGTCCTGTGGTAGAACCCGAGCCGAGGGTACAACCACCTTCGGCTATCACCACGCATGCCTACGGATAGAGAACATTAAATCGCATTAATTTTTGATTTATACAAAAAATTGAGAATTTTCATATTGATATGTTCATACTACGTACGACTTGGATTTAACAAATTAATTTACTTGTTATTTTTATTTTTTTGGCAAACTTAAGTTCCCTAGATAGAGAGTTTACGCAATTAATAAAATCTATTTATTTAATCGCGTTATTAAAATGTTTCTCAGTACTGATATCATCATCAACATTTTCATCAACAGCCTATAAGTGCCCACTGCTGAACAAAGGTCTCTTCTCACACGGAGAACATTACACGGTTTGAGCATTAATCACCACGCTTGCTCGGGTGCGGGTTGGTGATTTCAAACCTATAATTAGAAATTATAAGTCCAGGTTTCCTCACGATGTTTTCCTTAACCGTAATACTAATACTGGTATTAAAAAAATAAATTTAAATACAATATAAAATCCTAAGCAATGGTTCTTTTAAACTATAGTCGCACTTATTATAACGTATGTATATAATACATATTTAAAAAGGCATTAAGAAGTGTTATTTTATGTATTAATTATATTTTACCTTTACTTCAGGATCGAACTCAAAGCCTTCGCTACAGAACAGTTGTATTGCGTGTCCACCTGTGCACAGGTAGAATGAGTTGCACAGTTCTGGATGAGGAACATTGCCCCAAGTGCCCGGGGGACAGTTGGGGTCCACTGTGGTTGTTGTTTGCGTGACAGTAGTCGGTGCTAGAGTTGTAGTTTGGCTCATTGTGCAGCCTCCTTCGGCGATGAGAACGCAAGTCTGAAAAAAATGACATAGATATATATCGTTTTTGCAAGGCACTAAAACCAAGTGAAACAGTAATACATTGTTTACCCAGAATAAGAACGTTAGTTCATCAAAGACCTTTAGACACGTCTTCCTATCAATAATCTGATGTGATTGAGGATTTTTATAAAAATTAATAACTGAATTAGTAATTACCAATTTCTCCAAAAAACAAAAAAAAAAAAATAAGAAAACAACTGACATAATTTGCACAAAGCGAAAGTACGCAAAATCAACTTACACCAACGTTGGGGTCGAACTCGAATCCGTCACTACAGAACAGTTGAATCGCTTGTCCCGCTGCGCACATGTAAAATGAGTTGCACAGAGTTGGATGAGGCACATTGCCCCACACTCCTATAGGACATATTTCAGGCGCTGCCGTGGTTGTTATAGAAATGTCAGTGGTACCGATAGGTGTAGTGGAGATTTCGGTGGTAGATATTGTTGAGTCTGTGCTTGAACCCAAAGTACAACCGCCAGGTGCAATGGCAACACAGTTCTGAAAAATAAAAATTAGAGGTGTTAAGTGCTTCGGCACGAATGGGTCGGCTCGACCAGAGTGACACCACGGCTTTAGATAAAACTGGCGTGAAACAATTACAGCGTTGTATGAGTGAGGTAACCGGAAGCCCATTCCTTCCGCTCTCTCAATCCCTAAATTTAAAAATCACTAATCCTAAAAGGTCGGCAACACACTCGTAACTCCTCTGTTGATGCAGGTGTCTATGGGTGGCGCGCTGGCTTACCATCAGGTAATCTGCATGTTCATTTGCCGTCCTATTACATAAAAAGTATGCATTAACGGAAAACTGTAATAATTTTTAGATAATGTGCCAATTACGCTATTTTTTACTAAAGAAAAAGTATGTTTCTGTACAAACTGAATCCTTATAAAAACAAGTCATAAAAAATACACAATAACACAATGAAGTACGATAGAGCCATAGTTTAACATAAACGGTTCGACCGATGTTGTACACAGCGTTGTACTTCGCCAATCCTAGAGGCCGAATCCCTCTTCCCCACCCCCAATCCAAAATCCCAATCCCCAAAAGGCGCCGATTGCTTACCAATAGGTAAGTGATCCAATCACATAAAAAATTACAAAGAAAACAACCAATTAATTAGTAGTAAATCGAATAATCTTACCCCGACCGAGGCGTCGAATTCGTATCCACTTGCGCAATACAATTTAACTGCAACTCCGCTAACGCACAAATAGAAAGCATTGCATTCTTCTGGATGGGGAACATTTCCGTATACATCCGGAGGACAAGGATTGTACTCATCTTCCACTGTTGTCGAAGTTTCCGTTGTTGTCTGATCTACAACAGTTGTTGATGTCGGCTGTCCCGTTGTTGTTGGTCCCTGTGAAGAAATATGTTGTTGGTATGTGCTGGAATGTGTTTTTTCAGAATGTTGATAGAAAGTTCACTATTATAAAAAGGTAAAATTTGTAAGTTTGTATGTAGGAGTAATCTTTGGAACCACTTGACGGACTCCCAACATTTTTTCACTTATTGATAGCTACAATGTTCCCGAATGCTAGAGGCTAAAAAACATCACGTCACAATCAAATTTAGCCGAGCAGCGAGTAAAGGCAGGCGGGAGTAACTCATTGTTTTGTAAGGATAAAACTAACCATTTTAGTTATTTCTTTGAAAGCAGACTTCTACTAATATAGTGGTGTTGATATTGATAATTTTTTGATAGTTTGTATGGTGGTTCCTAGACGAGTATTGCCCATGTAAGACGTGTTTACCTGTGTCTCGTCAGTTGTTGAAGGTAAATATGTCGTTGTTGGTGCGTTTGTAGTTGTTGATGCATCAGTTGAAGGTACTAATGTAGTTGTTGGTGCGTCAGTTGACGGAACATATGTCGTTGTGGGTGCGTCAGTTGACGGAACAAATGTCGTTGTCGGTGCATTTGTAGTTGTTGAGGCGTCAGTTGACGGAACATATGTGGTTGTGGATGCGTCAGTTGACGGTACATACGTAGTCGTTGGTGCACTTGTAGTTGTTGGTGCATTAGTCGTTGGAACATATGTTGTTGTTGGTGCATCAGTTGATGGAACATATGTCGTTGTTGGTGCAGTTGTAGTTGTGGGTGCATCAGTTGACGGTACTAATGTAGTTGGAGCGTCAGTTGACGGAACATATGTCGTTGTTGGTGCATCAGTTGACGGAACATACGTGGTTGTTGGTGCATCAGTTGTTGGAACAAACGTGGTTGTTGGTGCAGTTGTAGTTGTGGGTGCATCAGTTGACGGTACTAATGTAGTTGGAGCGTCAGTTGATGGTCCATATGTCGTTGTTGGTGCATCAGTTGATGGAACATACGTTGTTGTTGGTGCAGTTGTAGTTGTGGGTGCATCAGTTGACGGTACTAATGTAGTTGGAGCGTCAGTTGACGGAACATATGTCGTTGTTGGTGCATCAGTTGACGGAACATACGTGGTTGTTGGTGCAGTTGTAGTTGTGGGTGCATCAGTTGATGGTTCATATGTCGTTGTTGGTGCATCAGTTGATGGAACATATGTCGTTGTTGGTGCGTCAGTTGATGGTTCATATGTCGTTGTTGGTGCATCAGTTGATGGAACATATGTCGTTGTTGGTGCATCAGTTGATGGTACATATGTCGTTGTTGGTGCATCAGTTGACGGAACATATGTCGTTGTTGGTGCATTTGTAGTTGTTGGTGCGTCAGTTGAAGGGAAATATGTAGTTGTTGGTGAATCAGTTGGTGGAACATACGTTGTTGTTGGTGCAGTTGTAGTAGTGGGTGCATCAGTTGACGGTACTAATGTAGTTGGAGCGTCAGTTGATGGTTCATATGTCGTTGTTGGTGCATCAGTTGACGGAACATACGTGGTTGTTGGAGTAGTTGTAGTTGTGGGTGCATCAGTTGACGGTACTAATGTAGTTGGAGCGTCAGTTGATGGTTCATATGTCGTTGTTGGTGCATCAGTTGACGGAACATTTGTAGTTGTTGACGCGTCAGTTGATGGAACATATGTCGTTGTTGGTGCGTCAGTTGATGGAACATATGTCGTTGTTGGTGCATCAGTTGATGGAACATATGTCGTTGTTGGTGCATCAGTTGTTGGAACATATGTTGTTGTTGGTGTAGTTGTAGTTGTGGGTGCATCAGTTGACGGAACATATGTAGTTGTTGACGCGTCAGTTGATGGAACATATGTCGTTGTTGGTGCGTCAGTTGATGGAACATATGTCGTTGTTGGTGCATCAGTTGATGGACCATATGTCGTTGTTGGTGCATCAGTTGTTGGAACATACGTGGTTGTTGGTGCAGTTGTAGTTGTGGGTGCATCAGTTGACGGTACTAATGTAGTTGGAGCATCAGTTGATGGTTCATATGTCGTAGTTGGTGCATCAGTTGACGGAACATATGTCGTTGTGGGTGCGTCAGTTGACGGTACTAATGTAGTTGGAGCGTCAGTTGATGGTTCGTATGTCGTTGTTGGTGCATCAGTTGTTGGTGCATTTGTAGTTGTTGGTGCATCAGTTGACGGAACATATGTCGTTGTTGGTGTAGTTGTAGTTGTTGGTGCATCAGTTGTTGGAACATACGTGGTTGTTGGTGCAGTTGTAGTTGTGGGTGCATCAGTTGACGGTACTAATGTAGTTGGAGCGTCAGTTGATGGTTCGTACGTCGTTGTTGGTGCATCAGTTGACGGAACATACGTAGTTGTTGGTGCAGTTGTAGTTGTGGGTGCGTCAGTTGACGGTACTAATGTAGTTGGAGCGTCAGTTGATGGTTCATATGTCGTTGTTGGTGCATCAGTTGTTGGAACATATGTTGTTGTTGGTGCATCAGTCGACGGAACATATGTCGTTGTTGGTGCATCAGTTGATGGAACATACGTGGTTGTTGGTGCATCAGTTGACGGAACATATGTCGTTGTTGGTGCATCAGTTGTTGGAACATACGTGGTTGTTGGTGCAGTTGTAGTTGTGGGTGCATCAGTTGACGGTACTAATGTAGTTGGAGCATCAGTTGATGGTTCATATGTCGTTGTTGGTGCATCAGTTGACGGAACATACGTGGTTGTTGGTGCATCAGTTGATGGTTCATATGTAGTTTCTGGTGCATTTGTAGATGTTGGTGTGTCAGTTGACGGTACTAATGTAGTTGGAGCGTCAGTTGATGGTTCATATGTCGTTGTTGGTGCATTTGTAGTTGTTGGTGCATCAGTTGACGGAACATATGTCGTTGTTGGTGCATCAGTTGACGGAACATACGTGGTTGTTGGTGAATCAGTTGATGGAACATATGTCGTTGTTGGTGCAGTTGTAGTTGTGGGTGCATCAGTTGACGGTACTAATGTAGTTGGAGCGTCAGTTGATGGAACATATGTTGTTGTTGGTGCATCAGTTGATGGAACATATGTCGTTGTTGGTGCATCAGTTGACGGAACATATGTCGTTGTTGGTGCATCAGTTGATGGAACATATGTCGTTGTTGAAGCAGTTGTAGTTGTGGGTGCATCAGTTGTCGGTACTAATGTTGTTGGTGCATCAGTTGATGGAACATATGTCGTTGTTGGTGCAGTTGTAGTTGTGGGTGCATCAGTTGACGGTACTAATGTAGTTGGAGCGTCAGTTGATGGTTCATATGTCGTTGTTGGTGCATCAGTTGACGGAACATACGTGGTTGTTGGTGCAGTTGTAGTTGTGGGTGCGTCAGTTGACGGTACTAATGTAGTTGGAGCGTCAGTTGATGGTTCGTATGTCGTTGTTGGTGCATCAGTTGTTGGAACATATGTTGTTGTTGGTGCATCAGTTGACGGAACATATGTCGTTGTTGGTGCATCAGTTGATGGAACATACGTGGTTGTTGGTGCATCAGTTGACGGAACATATGTCGTTGTTGGTGCATCAGTTGTTGGAACATACGTGGTTGTTGGTGCAGTTGTAGTTGTGGGTGCATCAGTTGACGGTACTAATGTAGTTGGAGCGTCAGTTGATGGTTCATATGTCGTTGTTGGTGCATCAGTTGACGGAACATACGTGGTTGTTGGTGCATCAGTTGATGGTTCATATGTCGTTGTTGGTGCATCAGTTGTTGGAACATACGTGGTTGTTGGTGCAGTTGTAGTTGTGGGTGCATCAGTTGACGGTACTAATGTAGTTGGAGCGTCAGTTGATGGTTCATATGTCGTTGTTGGTGCATCAGTTGACGGAACATACGTGGTTGTTGGTGCATCAGTTGATGGTTCATATGTCGTTGTTGGTGCATCAGTTGACGGAACATACGTGGTTGTTGGTGTAGTTGTAGTTGTGGGTGCATCAGTTGACGGTACTAATGTAGTTGGAGCGTCAGTCGATGGTTCGTATGTCGTTGTTGGTGCATCAGTTGACGGAACATATGTCGTTGTTGGTGCGTCAGTTGATGGAACATATGTCGTTGTTGGTGCATCAGTTGATGGTTCATATGTCGTTGTTGGTGCATCAGTTGACGGAACATATGTAGTTGTTGACGCGGCAGTTGATGGAACATATGTCGTTGTTGGTGCGTCAGTTGATGGAACATATGTCGTTGTTGGTGCATCAGTTGATGGAACATATGTCGTTGTTGGTGCATCAGTTGTTGGAACATATGTTGTTGTTGGTGCATCAGTTGACGGAACATATGTCGTTGTTGGTGCAGTTGTAGTTGTGGGTGCGTCAGTTGACGGTACTAATGTAGTTGGAGCGTTAGTTGATGGTTCAAATGTCGTTGTTGGTGCATCAGTTGACGGAACATATGTCGTTGTTGGTGCATCAGTTGATGGACCATATGTCGTTGTTGGTGCATCAGTTGTTGGAACATACGTGGTTGTTGGTGCAGTTGTAGTTGTGGGTGCATCAGTTGACGGTACTAATGTAGTTGGAGCATCAGTTGATGGTTCATATGTCGTAGTTGGTGCATCAGTTGACGGAACATATGTCGTTGTGGGTGCGTCAGTTGACGGTACTAATGTAGTTGGAGCGTCAGTTGATGGTTCGTATGTCGTTGTTGGTGCATCAGTTGTTGGTGCATTTGTAGTTGTTGGTGCATCAGTTGACGGAACATATGTCGTTGTTGGTGCAGTTGTAGTTGTTGGTGCATCAGTTGTTGGAACATACGTGGTTGTTGGTGCAGTTGTAGTTGTGGGTGCATCAGTTGACGGTACTAATGTAGTTGGAGCGTCAGTTGATGGTTCGTACGTCGTTGTTGGTGCATCAGTTGACGGAACATACGTAGTTGTTGGTGCAGTTGTAGTTGTGGGTGCGTCAGTTGACGGTACTAATGTAGTTGGAGCGTCAGTTGATGGTTCATATGTCGTTGTTGGTGCATCAGTTGTTGGAACATATGTTGTTGTTGGTGCATCAGTCGACGGAACATATGTCGTTGTTGGTGCATCAGTTGATGGAACATACGTGGTTGTTGGTGCATCAGTTGACGGAACATATGTCGTTGTTGGTGCATCAGTTGTTGGAACATACGTGGTTGTTGGTGCAGTTGTAGTTGTGGGTGCATCAGTTGACGGTACTAATGTAGTTGGAGCGTCAGTTGATGGTTCATATGTCGTTGTTGGTGCATCAGTTGACGGAACATACGTGGTTGTTGGTGCATCAGTTGATGGTTCATATGTAGTTTCTGGTGCATTTGTAGATGTTGGTGTGTCAGTTGACGGTACTAATGTAGTTGGAGCGTCAGTTGATGGTTCATATGTCGTTGTTGGTGCATTTGTAGTTGTTGGTGCATCAGTTGACGGAACATATGTCGTTGTTGGTGCATCAGTTGACGGAACATACGTGGTTGTTGGTGAATCAGTTGATGGAACATATGTCGTTGTTGGTGCAGTTGTAGTTGTGGGTGCATCAGTTGACGGTACTAATGTAGTTGGAGCGTCAGTTGATGGAACATATGTCGTTGTTGGTGCATCAGTTGACGGAACATATGTCGTTGTTGGTGCATCAGTTGATGGAACATATGTCGTTGTTGAAGCAGTTGTAGTTGTGGGTGCATCAGTTGTCGGTACTAATGTAGTTGGAGCGTCAGTTGATGGAACATATGTTGTTGTTGGTGCATCAGTTGATGGAACATATGTCGTTGTTGGTGCAGTTGTAGTTGTGGGTGCATCAGTTGACGGTACTAATGTAGTTGGAGCGTCAGTTGATGGTTCATATGTCGTTGTTGGTGCATCAGTTGACGGAACATACGGGGTTGTTGGTGCAGTTGTAGTTGTGGGTGCGTCAGTTGACGGTACTAATGTAGTTGGAGCGTCAGTTGATGGTTCGTATGTCGTTGTTGGTGCATCAGTTGTTGGAACATATGTCGTTGTTGGTGCATCAGTTGACGGAACATACGTGGTTGTTGGTGTAGTTGTAGTTGTGGGTGCATCAGTTGACGGAACATATGTAGTTGTTGACGCGTCAGTTGATGGAACATATGTCGTTGTTGGTGCGTCAGTTGATGGAACATATGTCGTTGTTGGTGCATCAGTTGATGGACCATATGTCGTTGTTGGTGCATCAGTTGTTGGAACATACGTGGTTGTTGGTGCGGTTGTAGTTGTGGGTGCATCAGTTGACGGTACTAATGTAGTTGGAGCGTCAGTTGATGGTTCATATGTCGTAGTTGGTGCATCAGTTGACGGAACATACGTGGTTGTTGGTGCATCAGTTGATGGTTCATATGTCGTTGTTGGTGCATCAGTTGACGGAACATACGTGGTTGTTGGTGTAGTTGTAGTTGTGGGTGCATCAGTTGACGGAACATATGTAGTTGTTGACGCGTCAGTTGATGGAACATATGTCGTTGTTGGTGCAGTTGTAGTTGTGGGTGCGTCAGTTGACGGTACTAATGTAGTTGGAGCGTTAGTTGATGGTTCAAATGTCGTTGTTGGTGCATCAGTTGACGGAACATATGTCGTTGTTGGTGCATCAGTTGACGGAACATACGTGGTTGTTGGTGTAGTTGTAGGTGTGGGTGCATCAGTTGACGGGACATATGTAGTTGTTGACGCGTCAGTTGATGGAACATATGTCGTTGTTGGTGCGTCAGTTGATGGAACATATGTCGTTGTTGGTGCATCAGTTGATGGACCATATGTCGTTGTTGGTGCATCAGTTGTTGGAACATACGTGGTTGTTGGTGCGGTTGTAGTTGTGGGTGCATCAGTTGACGGTACTAATGTAGTTGGAGCATCAGTTGATGGTTCATATGTCGTAGTTGGTGCATCAGTTGACGGAACATATGTCGTTGTGGGTGCATCAGTTGATGGTTCATATGTCGTTGTTGGTGCATCAGTTGACGGAACATACGTGGTTGTTGGTGCATCAGTTGATGGTTCATATGTCGTTGTTGGTGCATCAGTTGATGGAACATACGTGGTTGTTGGTGCATCAGTTGATGGTTCATATGTCGTTGTTGGTGCATCAGTTGACGGAACATACGTGGTTGTTGGTGTAGTTGTAGTTGTGGGTGCATCAGTTGACGGTACTAATGTAGTTGGAGCGTCAGTTGATGGAACATATGTCGTTGTTGGTGCATCAGTTGATGGTTCATATGTCGTAGTTGGTGCATCAGTTGACGGAACATATGTCGTTGTGGGTGCATCAGTTGATGGTTCATATGTCGTTGTTGGTGCATCAGTTGATGGAACATACGTGGTTGTTGGTGCATCAGTTGATGGTTCATATGTCGTTGTTGGTGCGTCAGTTGATGGAACATATGTCGTTGTTGGTGCATCAGTTGATGGTTCATATGTCGTTGTTGGTGCATCAGTTGACGGAACATATGTAGTTGTTGACGCGTCAGTTGATGGAACATATGTCGTTGTTGGTGCGTCAGTTGATGGAACATATGTCGTTGTTGGTGCATCAGTTGATGGAACATATGTCGTTGTTGGTGCATCAGTTGTTGGAACATATGTTGTTGTTGGTGCATCAGTTGACGGAACATATGTCGTTGTTGGTGCAGTTGTAGTTGTGGGTGCGTCAGTTGACGGTACTAATGTAGTTGGAGCGTTAGTTGATGGTTCAAATGTCGTTGTTGGTGCATCAGTTGACGGAACATATGTCGTTGTTGGTGCATCAGTTGACGGAACATACGTGGTTGTTGGTGTAGTTGTAGTTGTGGGTGCATCAGTTGACGGTACTAATGTAGTTGGAGCATCAGTTGATGGACCATATGTCGTTGTTGGTGCATCAGTTGTTGGAACATATGTCGTTGTTGGTGCATCAGTTGATGGACCATATGTCGTTGTTGGTGCATCAGTTGTTGGAACATATGTAGTTGTTGACGCGTCAGTTGATGGAACATATGTCGTTGTTGGTGCATCAGTAGTTGGAACATACGTGGTTGTTGGTGCAGTTGTAGTTGTGGGTGCATCAGTTGACGGAACATACGTGGTTGTTGGTGCATCAGTTGTTGGAACATACGTGGTTGTTGGTGCAGTTGTAGTTGTGGGTGCATCAGTTGACGGAACATATGTAGTTGTTGACGCGTCAGTTGATGGAACATATGTCGTTGTTGGTGCATCAGTTGACGGAACATATGTTGTTGTTGACGCGTCAGTTGATGGAACATATGTCGTTGTTGGAGCGTCAGTTGATGGTTCGTACGTCGTTGTTGGTGCATCAGTTGTAGGAACATATGTCGTTGTTGGTGCATCAGTTGTTGGAACATATGTCGTTGTTGGTGCATTTGTAGTTGTTGGTGCATTAGTCGTTGGAACATATGTTGTTGTTGGTGCATCAGTTGTTGGAACATACGTGGTTGTTGGTGCAGTTGTAGTTGTGGGTGCATCAGTTGACGGTACTAATGTAGTTGGAGCGTCAGTTGATGGTTCGTACGTCGTTGTTGGTGCATCAGTTGTTGGAACATACGTCGTTGTTGGTGCATTTGTAGTTGTTGGTGCATTAGTCGTTGGAACATATGTTGTTGTTGGTGCATCAGTTGATGGAACATATGTCGTTGTTGGTGCAGTTGTAGTTGTGGGTGCATCAGTTGACGGTACTAATGTAGTTGGAGCGTCAGTTGACGGAACATATGTCGTTGTTGGTGCATCAGTTGACGGAACATACGTGGTTGTTGGTGCATCAGTTGTTGGAACATACGTGGTTGTTGGTGCAGTTGTAGTTGTGGGTGCATCAGTTGACGGTACTAATGTAGTTGGAGCATCAGTTGATGGTTCGTATGTCGTTGTTGGTGCATCAGTTGTTGGAACATATGTTGTTGTTGGTGCATCAGTTGACGGAACATATGTCGTTGTTGGTGCAGTTGTAGTTGTGGGTGCGTCAGTTGACGGTACTAATGTAGTTGGAGCGTCAGTTGATGGTTCGTATGTCGTTGTTGGTGCATCAGTTGTTGGAACATATGTCGTTGTTGGTGCATTTGTAGTTGTTGGTGCATCAGTTGACGGAACATATGTCGTTGTTGGTGCGTCAGTTGATGGAACATACGTGGTTGTTGGTGCATCAGTTGACGGAACATACGTGGTTGTTGGTGTAGTTGTAGTTGTGGGTGCATCAGTTGACGGTACTAATGTAGTTGGAGCGTCAGTTGATGGTTCATATGTCGTTGTTGGTGCATCAGTTGACGGAACATATGTCGTTGTTGGTGCATCAGTTGACGGAACATACGTGGTTGTTGGTGCAGTTGTAGTTGTGGGTGCGTCAGTTGACGGTACTAATGTAGTTGGAGCGTCAGTTGGTGGTTCATATGTCGTTGTTGGTGCATCAGTTGACGGAACATACGTGGTTGTTGGTGCAGTTGTAGTTGTGGGTGCGTCAGTTGACGGTACTAATGTAGTTGGAGCGTCAGTTGATGGTTCATATGTCGTTGTTGGTGCATCAGTTGACGGAACATATGTCGTTGTTGGTGCAGTTGTAGTTGTGGGTGCGTCAGTTGACGGTACTAATGTAGTTGGAGCGTCAGTTGGTGGTTCATATGTCGTTGTTGGTGCATCAGTTGACGGAACATATGTCGTTGTTGGTGCATCAGTTGTTGGAACATACGTGGTTGTTGGTGCAGTTGTAGTTGTGGGTGCGTCAGTTGACGGTACTAATGTAGTTGGAGCGTCAGTTGATGGTTCGTATGTCGTTGTCGGTGCATCTGTTGTTGGAACATATGTTGTTGTTGGTGCATCAGTTGACGGAACATACGTGGTTGTTGGTGCATCAGTTGTTGGAACATACGTCGTTGTTGGTGCATCAGTTGACGGAACATATGTCGTTGTTGGTGCATCAGTTGTTGGAACATACGTTGTTGTTGGTGCAGTTGTAGTTGTTGGTGCGTCAGTTGATGGTTCATATGTCGTTGTTGGTGCATCAGTTGATGGAACATATGTCGTTGTTGGTGCATCAGTTGATGGAACATATGTCGTTGTTGGTGCGTCAGTTGATGGAACATATGTCGTTGTTGGTGCATCAGTTGACGGAACATATGTCGTTGTTGGTGCATCAGTTGTTGGAACATACGTGGTTGTTGGTGCATCAGTTGACGGTACTAATGTAGTTGGAGCGTCGGTAGATGGTTCGTATGTCGTTGTTGGTGCGTCAGTTGATGGAACATATGTCGTTGTTGGTGCATCAGTTGACGGAACATATGTCGTTGTTGGTGCATTTGTAGTGTTTGGATCAATTGTTGAAGGTGTGTGTGCGGTTGTTGGTGTTTCTGTTGATGGATCCCATGTTATGGGATCAAGTGTTGTAGGCTCTTGTGTTTCTGTAGATACCTGTGTTGTTGAGGTTGTCTCAGTGGGTCCTTCAGTTGTTGTTGTGGGTGCGTCAGTAACGGTTACAGTGGGCCCGTCAGTTGTTGTTGAGGGGGTCTCTGTAGGTCCTTCAGTTGTTGTTGAGGGGGTCTCTGTAGGTCCTTCAGTTGTTGTTGAGGGTGTATCTGTAGGGCCTTCAGTTGTTGTTGTAGATGCATCAGTAACGGTAACAGTGGGGCCATCAGTTGTTGTTGAGGGGGTCTCTGAAGGACCTTCAGTTGTTGTTGAGGGGATATCTGTAGGGCCTTCCGTCGTTGTTGTGGGTGCATCAGTTACTGTTACTGTGGTCCCGTCTGTTGTTGTTGATGGGATCTCTGTAGGTCCTTCAGTTGTTGTTGTGGGTGTATCAGTAACGGTTACAGTGGGCCCGTCAGTTGTTGTTGAGGGGGTCTCTGTAGGTTTTCCAGTTGTTGTTGAAGGGGTATCTGTGGGACCTTCAGTTGTTGGTGATGGGGTCTCTGTAGGTCCTTCAGTTGTTGTTGACGTGGTCTCTATGGGCCCTTCAGTTGTTGTTGTGGGTGCATCAGTAACGGTTACAGTGGGCCCGTCAGTTGTTGTTGAGGGGGTCTCTGTAGGTCCTTCAGTTATTGTTGACGTGGTCTCTATGGGCCCTTCAGTTGTTGTTGTGGGTGCATCAGTAACGGTAACAGTGGGCCCGTCAGTTGTTGTTGAGGGGGTCTCTGTAGGGCCTTCAGTTGTTATTGTAGGTGTATCAGGTACTGTCATTGTGGGCCCGTCAGTTGTTGTTGAGGGAGTCTCTGTAGGTCCTTCAGTTGTTGTTGAGGTGGTATCTGTAGGGGCGTCAGTTGTTGTAGTGGGTTCATCAGGTACTGTTATTGTGGGCCCGTCAGTTGTTGTTGAGGGGATCTCTGTCGGTCCTTCAGTTGTTGTTGTGGGGGTCTCTGTAGGTCCTTCAGTTGTTGTTGACGTGGTCTCTATGGGCCCTTCAGTTGTTATTGTGGGTGCATCAGTAACGGTTACAGTGGGCCCGTCAGTTGTTGTTGAGGGGGTCTCTGTCGGTTCTTCAGTTGTAGTTGATGGGATCTCTGTAGTTCCTTCAGTTGTTGTTGTGGGTCCATCAGTAACGGTTACAGTGGGGCCGTCAGTTGTTGTTGAGGGGGTCTCTGTCGGTTCTTCAGTTGTAGTTGATGGGGTCTCTGTAGTTCCTTCAGTTGTTGTTGTGGGTGTATCAGTTACGGTTACAGTGGGCCCGTCAGTTGTTGAGGGGGTCTCTGTAGGTCCTTCAGTTGTTGTTGACGTGGTTTCTATGGGTCCTTCAGTTGTTATTGTGGGTGCATCTGTAACGGTTACAGTAGGCCCGTCAGTTGTTGTTGAGGCGGTCTCTGTAGGTCCTTCAGTTGCTGTTGAAGGGGTATCTGTGGGACCTTCAGTTGTTGGTGGTGGGGTCTCTGTAGGTCCTTCGGTTGTTGTTGTGGGTGCATCAGTAACGGTTACAGTGGGCCCGTCAGTGGATGTAGAAGGAGTGTATGTGGTTGTACTTGGCTCATCGGTAATTGTGATTGGTACCTCCGTAGTAGTAGTTGTTGTTGAAGTGGTTGTCGTTGTCGTCACGTTGCATTGCACCATGAACGGCCAACTGCAGTACTGAAAAAAAAATTTTTTTCGTGTATAATTTTTTTTTTTCGTATATATTTCACTTTACTTTCACTGGATACTCTCACTTGTAAAAAAATACGTCTTGAATATTTTTACGATACTGAGATGACATGGGGTCGAACCCAAAAAAATTTCCATGGTAATGGCGAACGATACAAGGTACTATTTGGGTAGAAATATAACAGTAGGGATGACAGAACTGATGGCGCTATGGGGGCGCTATGGGGGCGCTATGGGGGTATCACCACCCTCGTGTTACCAGTTTTCTTTTTTTACGTAACTCCTCCGTCGTGTCGGGCATGGGCGGCGCTGATTGCTTACCATCAGGTAATTAATTTTCTCGGTTGCCGACCTATCACATGAAAAAATTAAGTCGTAGCAGAATATCAGTCGTTATATTTCCATAATGTAGGTTTGTCTGTTCTTATTCCGTGACTAACAATAAAACATCAAATAACTGCATAGTTATATGTTTTTGTTTCATTTAAGCTATAAAGTCTTGTAAGGCTGGCATTTTCTGTGTGAAATGGTGAAAAAGTCAAAAGCTACAGGTAAAGTCAAGAAAAAAAAAAGATTCTTCAGTGGTCTTCTGAGAAGAGACCGTAGTCATTTGTTCAGACGCTAGAAATAAATATAGGTAAGAGGCAAAAGATAAGTACAATTATTGTAGTCATAACACGTGGGTAATTTTATAACTACCCAAGGTCTGTCTTATAGTTAGCAGGATAACTAGTTTTGTTTAAAATTATTGCAAATTGCATTTTTTAAGATTAGTTAAGGAGTTTTTCTCGTATTTCTCTCTACACATTATCCATAATATACCAGTTGGCTTAACAGATGTTCAATTCAACTTTGACGTGTCAAAAATGCCCGTACAAGGATAAATTCAAATAAATACTTATGAAGAATATTTAGCTAATATAAAACTGTTTTACAAAATATAAATTTAGCCTACCTGCAATTGGAAATCAAACCATGTGCCGGGCGCGCAATCCATTTCGACTTTCTGGCCGTGGACACAACTATAGAATTTCGCACAATCCGACTCATGTGGTAATAAAAGATCTACTGAGAAATCCGCTGGACAGCCGTTGGGCAGGAATTCAGGCGTTTCTGTTGTTGTTGTTGGTGCAGTTACTGTGGTTGGGTCGTCTGGCGTTGAAGGTGGCTCTTGAGTAATTGTTATGGGAGCGTCCGTTTCTGTAACAGTGGGCCCCGCAGGTGATGTTGTGGGACCGTCAGGTTCTGTGACAGTGGGCCCCTGAGTTATTGTAATCGGAGTGTCCGTTTCTGTAACAGTGGGCCCCGCAGGTGATGTTGTGGGACCGTCAGGTTCTGTGACAGTGGGCTCGTTAGGTGATGTTGTGGGAGCGTCAGGTTCTGTAACAGTGGGCCCCACAGTTGTTGTTGTGGGAGCATCCGGTTCTGTGACAGTGGGCTCGTTAGGTGTTGTTGTGGGAGCGTCAGGTTCTGTAACAGTGGGCCCCGCAGTTGTTGTTGTGGGAGCATCCGGTTCTGTGACAGTGGGCTCGTCAGGTGTTGTTGTGGGAGCATCCGGTTCTGTGACAGTGGGCCCCGCAGTTGTTGTTGTGGGAGCATCCGGTTCTGTGACAGTGGGCCCCGCAGTTGTTGTTATGGGAGCGATTGTCTCTGTAACTGTAGGCTCGTCAGGAGACGTTGAAGGCGTATTTGGATCTTCAGTAACCGTTATTGTTGTTGGAGTCGTTGTTGTTGTTGTTGTTGATGTTGTGCTAGTTACGTTACACTGCACCATGAACGGCCAACTACAGTACTGCAAAATGGAAAAATAAAGGATTTTTATTTACTGTTTTTTTGTCTATTTACATTATTATTATTTTTTGTGTTTTAATTGATTTCTTTTGTATCGTTTTGTTGAAATAAACTAGGTAAAAAACTGAGCTTTGTGATGACTTAAGGAAATGTTTGACTAATACGAGTAGATCAGAACTATTACCCATTAGTAGATCCCCTTTTTGACACGAGAAAATCATCAAATGACATCAATCGCAACCTCAAATTATTTTAATAGAATACGAATATAATAAACTTAAAATTAACAACATGTTGTATTTATTTACGCGGGTATTAACGCAGTAAATTATTATTTGAATACCTTACTGCCTTGACGTTTCGACCCGGTTGCACAGGTCGAGATAAAACACGACCTGTGCAACCGGGTATATCCGCGTATATTTATATATACGAATATAATTATTTTGCTTACTTGTAATTGGAAGTCGAACCAAGTTCCAGGCGCACAGTCCATTTCAACTTTTTGACCGTGGACGCAACTGTAGAATTTTGCGCAGTCAGATTCATGTGGTAATAAATGGTCGACTGTGAAGTCTGCTGGGCAGCCGTTGGGAAGGAATCCAGGCGATTCTGTAGTTGTTGTTGTGGTTGTTGGTCCCACAGTAACTGTTATTGGGTCGTCTGGTGTTGTTTGATCTTCAGGTGTTGTTGGGGCTGCAGTTGATGTAGTGGTTGTAGATCCCAGAGTGCAGTTCACCAAGTATATGTGATCGCATCCCTAGAAAAAAAAATACTTAAGATTTAATAACTTTATACCATACTAGCTAATCTCGCGCGGTTTCACCCGCTGCTCGGCTCCATTTAATTGCAGCGTGATGTTTTATAGCCTATAGCACTCAGGAACATTGTAGCTATCTATCAATGAAAGAATTTTGGCAATCCGACCAGCGGTTCCAAAGATTACCCCCTACATACAAACTTACAAACATAGGAACTTACAAATTTTACTTCTTTATAATATTAATATAGATTTATTGATGTTAGTTTATGTTAGGTAGTTATGCTTAATATATTTGAGATAATCATAAGATTTGATATACAAAGCCGATCTTTTTAGTATTCTGAAAAAAATATTTTATACCATCATCGTCATCATTATCAGTATACATGGCATATATAATTATATAGTATAGACTTCCACTGCTAAGATTAGGCCTACACCAATTAATTTCAGATTGGGCTTTAAAAACAACTCTGTTCTTATTATAACTTTCGTGAGACATTCTAAATTATTTATTATGTAGTCTTATTATTGTTTATTATGAGTAGCAACGCGACAGTCGCCGAGTCACGCGTTGCGGAATGCTGCTCATGAATATGGGCCTCTAGCATGGCTTGTTGCGTGAGTAAGCCGAAAACATAATAAATAACTCTGTTCTTAGCTCCTTATTTACTTTGAATATAAAGTATAAATATAAGTATCTATCTCATATGTCTCATATTCAATTAAGTGTGGTTGATTGCTTCTTACACTTACCATTTGAGTGTAGAAAATGAAATAAATAAATCGATAAATCAATTAATTTTGAGGCCAACTATTGGCTAGCCTGGTGGAAAATGCCTAAGGCATCAAGTTTTAATAAAATAAATAAATCGATCTTTTTCTTTATTTACCTGCAAATCGTAATCGAACCACGTTCCTGGCGCGCAAGGCATCAAAATTTTCTCTCCATTGCTGCAACTGTAGTACTTAGAACAATCCGTTTCGTGAGGTAGCAAGTAATTTATACTGAAGTCCACTGGACATCCATTTGGCAAGAGATCCGTGGGCTTCTGTGATGTTGTTGACGAAGGTGTTGTTGTTGTTGATGTTGTTGTTGATGAAGTTGTTGCTCCTGGGTGACATGTTGCCACTTGTGCTATTACACATCCCTGGAAAATTTGTTTGAATTAGTTTTGTGATACATTTTTAATATTCATAGTGACACATTCTCATGTATTAGGATTAACTCATTCGTTCGAAGCCGGAGAGTCTGGAATTGTTCCCAGTCCCCTTGCTGTTATTAATCGGCTGCCTGGCAGCGGTTTTCATACAAAATTTCAAGGCAAAAATTATGGTAAGTACTGAACCTATTTAAACGAAATCTGGTTTTCATATTAAGTCTTACTTAAGGTCATTTCTATCTAAAAGTGTAATGTATATATATAATAACTCATTTACTTGAAGTTTATAATCGAACAACGTTCCCGGAGCGCATGGTTGTTCAATTTTCTGTCCATTGCTGCAAGAGTAGAACCTTCCACAGTCTGTCTCGTGGGGCAACAGGTAATGGATGCTGAAGTCAACTGGACAACCGTTGGGCAACACCTCTATGGGTGGCGAAGGTGGCCGAGTTGTTGTTGTTGTTGATGATGTTGTTGTTGATGATGTTGATGGACTTGATGGACGATTTCGACAATCGACTGCAAACGGCCAATTGCACACCTGCGATAATGAAATAAGAATTAATTATTTTCGGTTTTTTTTTTATCTTCCAAAGCTAAATGCTAAGGTTGTCGCGAGCCCAGAGTTTAATGCCCCCGGGTCATGCTTAAGAGTTTTTCGAGTTATATGTACTTTATATGTTTATTTAGATCGTAACAAAAACTGGACATATAATTATTAATGAAGTATAAGTAAGTTTGTTATCGCCAATCCTGCTTGAGCAAGGGTGGTGATTAATTTTCAAACGTTCTCCGTGTAATAAGTGTATGGGCTGCTAAAGGGTCTATGTAGGTATGTTATTTGTTTTAAAATTTGCTGTGAAATAGTGCGGTAAACAATTCTACTCAGATAACTTATTTTAGTAAGATCAGCTCCACTCAGGGACACCCAAAATGTCAAAGAAGTCTGATGTGCTGTGCCGATGTTTTGCTAGTTAGTGATTTTAGGTGTAGGGGGTTAGGGATTGGTGTGGGATTGGGTATTGGCGTTGGGATTGGGCATGAGGTAACCTTCACTCACACGGCGAAACACAACGCTGTGGTTATTTCACGTTGATTTTCTGTGAGGCCGTGGTGTTGCTCCGGTCGTGCCGACCCATTCGTGCCGAAACATGACTCTCCCTTACATTATATGTTTTTTTTTATGGTATAAGTTGGCAAACGAGCGGACGGATTACCTGATGGTAAGCAATCGGCGCCGCCCATGGACACCCGCAACACCAAAGAAGTTACGAGTGCGTTGCCGGCCTTTTGGGGATAGGGGTTGCGAATATAAGGATCGGGAAGGGATACGGGAAGAGGAGGAATTGGGCCTCCGGTAACCTCACTCACACGGCAAAACACAACGCTGTGGGTTGTTTCACGTCGGTATTCTGGGAGGCCGTGGTATGACTCCGGTCGACCCGACCCATTCGATATGTTTGTGCAAAGTAACTTAGTAATAAAATGAATAATATTGGTGACTTACTTGTAAATTGACGTCGAAGAGTGTGCCGGGCGCGCATTTCATTTCAATTTTGTTGCCATTACTACAACTGTAGTACTTTGAGCAGTCTGTTTCATGTGGCAGGAGAAGGTGGACATGGAAGTCTGATGGGCAGCCATTGGGCAAGTACTGGGCTGATGACGCAGCTATCAACGTCAAAAATATGATAGCTTTGTACATATCTGTGGAACAATACAGAATTATATTGGTTAAACCGCATCAAATGATGTTAGATTCGCCATTATTTAGTTTAGAAATAAATCAGTAGGTAACAATTGTTAGGAGGCGTCCATAAATTACGTGAGGTGGTTTTTAATTTTTCTGCCATTCCCTCCCCCCCCCCCTGGTGAGATGTCGTGAGATTTTATTCAATCCCGTCCCCCATCCCCGAGGCTAATGTGAGGTTTTTCAAAATGTGAGTTTCTTACGTAAGCGCGTTGGATTGTTATTGTAAAAAGAAAAAAAAAATTTGCATCGTCCTTTTATTAGTAAATGTTCTTAACCGTACTACGATTACGCTTAAGATTAAATCTTAAACATGTACAATCTGGATTAAATAGACCAAAATAGTATATATATATTTTTTTTGTTTCCGAGACCCTATACCGCTCCCCTCTCTCCAAGATTTGACTCGACCCCCTCCCCCCCCCCCCCTTTAGACACCTCACGAAATTTATGGACGCTCCCTTATGGTGGCTCATATTGAGGTTATAATCGACGCTCGTTCCTCAGGCATGGGTGCGAGCAATGATATTATAAGTAAAAAGGTGTAGATAGGTTACAAGCGCTCAGCAAGTGATACACTAAAATGTGGCTAACTAGCCACACTTTTTCATATTTGTCTCTTTTTCACTCGCGATTATTGAATCATGCCATCCCACTTTAACGTGTATCATACGATTTATTCATGTTTGCATCAGTGTGCCGCTTTTGAAAATCGAACGTTGTTTATGTAACCTATCTATACCATTTTACTTATAATATCATTAGGTACGAGGATAAGAAACATAGGTATCTACACATTTTAGTTTCTTTTTATGTCAAAACCTACTGTTATCCATTTCAAAATAATATTATAAATGCGTTAGTAACTCTGTCTGTCTGTCTGTCTTTTCTTCACGCCTAAACTACTGAACCGATTTCTGTGAAATTTGGTAAAGACATAGTTTGGAAATCGAGAAAGAATATAGGATAGTTCTTGTACCAAAAATCTACAATAAGTCACTATTCCACGTGAACGGAGTCGCGGGCAAAAGCTAGTATTTTGTATAGTTTTTACTTTTATTAACTTTGTAAATAAATAGGTAGGTAGGAAGGTAAGATTAAAGACGGTGTCTTGATAATTATTAACATTTTCTTTATGTAATAGGTCGGCAAACGAGCAGACGGATTACCTGATGGTAAGATCAGCGCCGCCCATGGACACCCGCAACGGAGGAGTTACGAGTGCGTTGCCGACCTTTTAGGGATTAGGGATTGAGGAGGGATTGGGGGTGGGGAAGAATTGGGCTACCGGTAACCTCACTCACACGGCGAAACACAATGCTGTGGTTGTTTCACGCCGGTTTTCTGTGAGGCCGTGTTATCACTTCGGTCGAGCCGACCCATTCGTGCCGAAGCATGGCTCTCCCACACTTATTATCAAATGTTTTTTTCAGTAAAATCAGAATTTTCATATTTATCAATAAATTATTGCTATTTAAAATATTTTATTCAAAGCTATTTTACGTTAGTTGGTAGTTCTACTAGCCATAATCATTATTTTATTTGTATAGGGCTCCGTCTGTGGTGGTCTATTCGCTCTTTGAGGCGCGGAACGCTACGCGCCATACGCTTGTTAAATATCGTCAATCAGAGCCGAAGTTTAGTCATAAAATTATCTTCATTTAAAATCTTCATTGTCACGGTTTTATTGCGTGAATTTCACAATAATTAATAAATTACAAATTTATAAAACTGATAATCTTTATATTAAATCATAGGTATCGCATACAACTAGGTAATTGAATATATCAATAAAAATATGTCAATTTTTCAATATAATTAAATTTTTATGGATAAGGAACTATTATAATACTAGGCCCGCCCCCGCTTCGCACGGGTCTTACTATCCTAACAACAAAAGGGCCAGTTTTTCCCAATTTTCCCCTCTACTTTACTAATATTTTCTTTGATAAGACCCTTTTCCTGACCACAATAAATCCAACAAAAAAAGAATAAACAAAATTGGTCCAGGTGTTGTTGAGTTATACGCTTACCAACACATATATAGATAAAAATACCAGCTCTTGCCCGCGACTTTGTTCGCGTGGAATTATTACTTCCTGCGGATTTTTAGTTTAAAAACTAACCTATGTCTTTTCTCGAGTTCCAAACTATGTCTGTACCAAATTTCACACAAATAGGTTCAGTAGTTTAGGTGTGAAGAAAAAACAGACAGAGTTACTTTCGCATTTATAATATTAGTTTGGATTAAAATATTTATGTTTAATAATTAGAATAACAAATATTTGAATGCAAGTAGTAGATACTAAGTGAGTTAAGTAACTTAAGTAAAATGTAATATACATATAAAAATGGAATGCTGTTCGTTAGTTTCAATTAGGTAATCTCGAAAACTACTGATCAGATTTGGCTCATTTTGGTCTTGAAATATTTGTAAAAGTTCAGGGAATATTTAAAAGGTCAGACAATATTAGTTTATTTTGGCAGAAACAAGTAAACTATAAATATTTTTTTAAGAGAGGTTAAGAAGCCCTCTTCTCATTCATGAGAGTGTAGGTTCGAAACCTGGCAAGTACCAATGTGACTTTTTTCCGAGTTATATATATGTACTTTCTAAGATTATTTAGACACCACTGACATACGGTGAAGGTAAACATCGTGAGGAAACCTGGACTTATAATTCGTAATTATAAGTTTGAAATCGCCAACCCGCATTGAGCAAGCGTGGTGATTAATGCTCTAACCTTCTCTGTATGAGAAGAGGCCTTTGCTCAGTAGTGGGCACTTATAGGCTGATGATGATGGTGTAAATGAATTAATTTAAGTGAAAAAATGGACATATAATTTCTAATTATAAGTTTTTTTTTTTTTTACTTGCAATAAACCAGTACTTGACTGATCCCACCTGATGTTAAGCAGTGATGTAATCGTTGATGGTAAGGCGCACTAGTTTATTAAGAGCCTATTCACTCTAGTTCTAGTTTGAAATTGTCAGTATACATTATGTGAGCGCTATGTTTGAAACGATAAAGGATTTCATATGATGAGAAATTAATGCCATCGTTTGTTCTTTTTTTTTAAATAACTTGTTATCTGCCTTGTTCTCACATATAAGGGTACAATAATATATACTAAATAAAGTATTAGTAAAATTGTAAAACAATTAAGTACTATCTTTTAAAAAAGAGTAACGATGGAGTTTATTGCTCGTTCTTTTCCATTAAAATCTACGATTTGGAATGAGCACATATCTTCACTGACGAACAGAACAAACTATTATTCTATTTTGACGTTTCAAAAGTACATATTTATGGTTTAGTTGGAATAAATGATTTTGACTATGACTTTGAAATTGTAGTGATTAATGTTCAATCCTTATTCATGCTAGAAGAGATTTTTGTTTAGCCGTAGGCACTTAGGTACAGCCTGTAGATAAGCAACTATATTTTGCTTAGTAATAGAGTAGTTTTATATCTATATCTGTTACTAAGGTAAACTACCATTATTGATAGAAAATAATAGGTACTACACTTTATGAACTAAAGTCTAAGAACTTATTTGAGAAAATAATAATAATAATATACACACACGGGATTCGACCAGCAATCTACAGTACAAATCACTTACTAAACCCACATTATTATTAATTCAAAATAATCTGTAAAGAATTATTATTTTATCAAAATAATAATCATAACACTATTTCCGCTTTACATTTTAAAAACTACATATTAATAAATAAAAATATTATATTGTATTTAAAAATGGAACTGACAAATAAATTGTAGGTAATTCGAAAATATTAATTTTGAATTAATTAGCATAACGGAATCGTCTTGTTTCGTTTTATTATCAGCAATGTTTTAATTATAATGCAATTGTTTAATTTTACGGAGTTATCAACTAAAGAAAATAATGATACCTTAAACGTCACATTATATTTTGCTTTTACCCAAATGACGGTAACTTTTTATTATTGTGGTTAGGTATGGTTCAAATTATATTGTTTGTATTTATTTAAGGCTATATTTTCATGAACGAAAAAAAAACACTAAATATATTTAGCAAAGTAACATAAAAAAGACACTTATATTTATTAATAGTACCTAATCATTTATAAATAATATTAATAAAACAAAAACTTAAAGTTAACTAACCGAATTATTTGTAAACAAAAATAAATAATTGAATATTAAAAATGTATAACTGTTATTAACTATTAACTAATAATAATAAAACACCACGACTCACCTTAAACTATAATTCTCAGATCACAAATAAATAAACAAATTAGTATTATTATTTTTCCAAAATAATAATAGGTAACATCACTTCGCCACTAAGGGCTGCACTTTATCGAAAATATTTTTTTATTCCCCGCACTCTCGTTTACCGATGTTTATTTACCCGTTTATGTAAATCAATTAAATTTAATTGGCACGTATCGGTGATTATATCAGCCGCTTATATTACTATCACAAAATCAAAACGCGTCACCGGAAAAATATCTACAATTTTTTTTACATGAACGCTAAAACACTTTAGGCTGATTAGAAACTCACGGTTCCTGTTACAACTGATACGTTTGATAAAAATAAATATATTAATTTACTTTTACTATTTTACAAATATTTTTTGAGTTTTTTTTGTGTAATAATGAGAATCTTTTAGTATTATTACCGCAATTTATACTAATAGTACACTATTAAATAAATTAACTAAACTAATGTCAACACACGTCGTTTCTCGCGCTTTATCACAAAGGAATTAAACTGAATAATAATTTCGATTTCCAAATCCTTATATTATCAAATTATATCAACTGTAATCTATATCTTGGGTTAATTTCATCAAAATCGACGCAACAATTTTAAAGGAAAACGCAATAAAACTATCCTATAGTCAAGACGATGCTGAGATATTTCGAAAACGAATACATTTTACTAAAAAAAAATCTTTAAAAGGTGAATTTGGAAGATAATAATTTTAAATTCATAGAAAATGACGCTTAACGATGATGGTGATGACGTCAGAAGTTGAAGTCATCAATCATGATGATGACCAATCATAAACATCAAGTCTGTCATTGGTCAGTTCCGTTTCAATTTTCAATTTGATTGGTTGTGTAATTTTAGACAGGTTTGGTTACCGCCTAAACAACTTATAGATATATACCTTTCCTAATATTATTTTATGGTAATTTTTTTCCATATATATTTTCAATGACGTCACAAAATTTATTAATATTATTCAAAATGTAGGTAATGTAGGTACTGATGTACCCAACTGTTATTACAAACGCGAAAGTCTGTATGAGTGTATGTTTCTTACTCATTCACGTAAAAACTACTGAACGGATCTGTATGAAATTTTGCACAGAGATAGATTATAGTCTGGAGTAACACTTTATCCTGCCACTGCGGGCAAATTCGCTGGTAGAAACTAGTGCAAATATCTAATTCATAATACGTTTGTACCTTAGTGTGGGAGAGTCATGCTTCGGCACGAATGGGTCGGCTCGACCGGAGTGATACCACGGCCTCACAGAAAACCGGCGTGAAATAACCACAGCGTTGTGTTTCGCCGTGTGTGTGAGGTTACCGGAGCGGAGGGCCCGTGGGCCAATCCAATCCCAATCTCCAAATCCCTAATCCCTAAAAGGTCGGCAACGCACTTCTCCGTTGCGAGTGTCCATGGGCGGCGCTGATTGCTTACCATCAGGGAATCCGTCTGCTCGTTTGCCGACCTATTATATACATAAAAAAAGTAACAAAAACTAATCAAACCTTTTCATTGGTTTCATTTCAAAGGATAGTAAAATGATCGTCGTCTGTCGTAAAATGATAGTCCTAAAACTACCAGGCCAGATGATATAGCAGCATCATCTTAAATCTCAGGCAACCTAACTGTAATCCTCAAAATCGTTGACAATCGAGAACATAACGAGAAATGCCTTAAAAAGGTATTTAATTAAGCATTATATTTTTATTATAACCTTTGTGAGACATTCTTAATTAATTATTATGTTTTCGGCTTACTCGCGCCTTTGCCATGCTAGAGGCCCATATTCATGGCGGCGACTGCCGCGGAATGCTGCTCATGAATATGGGCCTCTAGCATGGCTTGGAACTAGTCGAGTATCTCTTCAAATTATTACGTGAGTAAGCTGAAAACATAATAAATAATTTAATCATTATTTTTTCCATGGAGGTTACAGGAGGCCCGTTCTTCCCCTCTCACCATCCCTTTCGCAATCTTTCTCTTTCAATAAATTAAATATCCGAAACCCTTATCCCCACAAGGCCGACAACGCACTCGTAACTCCTTTGGTGTAGCTGGTATTCATGGGCGGCTGATTGCTTACCATCAGGTAATACGTCTGCTTGTTTGCCAGCCTACCCCATAAAAAAACTGACATCGCCAATCGGCCTGCCAAGCGTGGGCATTTTAACCTAATGGCACTTAAAGTACAAATATTATATGTGGCACTCACATTCTTGATCAGTCTAATATCAATGGGAAACAAACAGACAAATTGTTCAAGTTCATATTAATATTCGAAGATATTTATTGAATGTCCTTAAAATTAACAAATACGCATATAATTACATATGATGTCAATCTCATTTCAATCAATGAGATTATTTCGGAAGTTGAAAAATGTATTAATTGTCGATATTTTTTTTGTATTTAAGTACACCGGATATTTCTTATCAATATTTAGGTAATTGTCTCTGTAACCCGGGTTCGAAACCTGGCATGTACCAATGTGACTTCTTCCGAGTTATATGTACTTTCTAATGTCCGGTTCCTATAATTGAGAAACGATCCGTTTTAGTTACGAATAGTAGTTTTATATACGACTCGTAAGCTAAAACCGTTCCTATAATAAACGTCTCGTCGTGCAACTTACTGACGGTTTGCAACTAACGGATGTCGGTAAGCGAATTGTATGGAGATCTATGGTGTCTGTGGTTTTCCTATAAATATTTTAACCGTCAGTAGACGGTCAAGATAACTATTCGTAATATCATTTGGTCGTAATGCGTATACAACGACGATTCGTTAAATATAGGAACCGGGCATAAGTTTATTAAGACACCATTGCTTTACGGTGAAGGTAAACATCGTGAGGAAACCTGGACTTCTATTTTCCAATTATAAGTTTGAAGTCGCTAATCCGCCTTGAGCAAGCGTAATGGTTAATGCTCAAACTTTCTCCGTCTGAGAAAAGGCCTTTGCTCAGCAGTGGGCTCTTATTTATATATTATGATAAGTTAGCTCACAGCTTATGTATACAAAGTAGTTAGAAGTATTCGTTATAGGTAATAGACCGTTTACATTACCCAGTTACGAGTTAACCAACCTTTTTTTTTATTATGTAAACTATCGGCAAACGAGCAGACGGATTACCTGATGGTAAGCAATCAACGCCGCCCATGGACACTCGCAACGGAGTAGTTACGAGTGCGTTGTCGACCTTTTAGGGATTAGGAGATTTAGGGATTGAGGAGAGATTGGGGGAGGGGAAGGATTGGGCCTCCGGCAATCTCACTCACACAGCGAAACAACAACGCTGTGGTTATTTCACTCCAGTTTTCTGTGAGGCCGTGGTATCACTCCGGTCGAGCCGACACATTCGTGCCGAAGCATGGCTCTCCCATCTATACATTCTTAAAATTACGCATGTCAACGACATAGCCTTGACGAATTTTGCCAATTATTTTTTTGTTGCATTTGTTACTGTCAGGACCAAGTTGTAAGGAAGAAAATTTTGGAAAAGTGGAGGGGTAAATAGTCTTTAGCGAGGTTCTTAGACACCCGTGCCAAGCAAGGACAGACCAATATTCTACATAAGTATATATACATATATAAAAGAAAGTCGTGTTAGTTACCCCACTTATAACTCAAGAACGGCTGAACCGATTTAGCTGAAAATTGGCAGGTAGGTAGTTTAGAGCCAGGATAGAGTAGGTAATTTAGGGTAGGCAGAATAGGGTAGGTTGAGTAGGGTAGGTAGAGTAGGGTAGGTAGAGTAGGGTAGGGTAGGTGGAGTAGGGTAGATAGAGTAGGGTAGATGGAGTAGGGTAGGTAGAATAGGGTAGATAGAGTAGGGTAGGTAGAGTAGGGTAGGTTGGGTAGGGTAGGGTAGGGTAGGTAGAGTAGGGTAGGGTAGGGTAGGGTAGGGTAGGTAGAGTAGGGTAGATAGAGTAGGGTAGGTAGAGTAGGGTAGGTAGAGTAGGGTAGGGTAGGTAGAGGAGGGTATGGTAGGGTAGGGTAGGTAGAGTAGGGTAGATAGAGTAGGGTAGGTAGAGTAGGGTAGGTAGAGTAGGGTAGGGTAGGTAGAGTAGGGCAGGTAGAGTAGGGTAGGTAAAGAAGGGTAGGTAAAGAAGGGTAGGTCGAATGACGGGTGCGACGCCACGAATAAGAGCTAGTTTACAATAAACTCCTAAAGACAATCTTAAGAATAATATTATCAAACAATAGTTTATTTAATACAAATACAATAGGTATCTAATATTTTCCTTTTATCGGATTAATACGTGTGTATTTAATAATTTCTAACGAATTCATAGCTTTATTGATAATAAAAATCAGATTCATTTTTGTTGGTTTTTCCTAAGCTGTGTATTTTGTAACATACGGATGTTACCGGAGGCCCAATCCTTCCCCTCCCCCAATCCCTAAATCTCCAAATCCCAAATCCCTTAAAGGTCGGCAACGCACTCGTAAATCTTCCGTTGCGAGTGTCCATGGGCGGCGCTGATTGCTTACCATCAGGTAATCCGTCTGCTCGTCTGCCAACCTATGACATAAAATAAAAATAAAATAAAAAAATAAGGTCTTCTCAGAGAGCGTACAGCCAGGGTTGCGTGTCAACGTAAGTTCGAGTCTGGGACAAGCCCGCCGCAACCTCCCAAAACCGCTGCAACTCCTGTAAGCCAGGATCTACAGTAGATACAACCATGAAAACACCGGAACACTGAAGTCCAGCGCGTCCCAGGGACATGAATGACTGTCTTGGATCCCGCAACGAAATATTATTTGAGGAGAAGAAAAATAAGTGCGAGTCTGAGGATGGCTAGCAAAGGTAGCTCACCGCCCGACCAGAACCAAACTCGAGCGTACGGCGCGTAGCGTTCCGCGCGCGCCTCAAAGACCCAATAGACCACCACAGACAGGACCCTACAGGGCTGATGTTCAGCCGGGGTTGCGGGGTAAGCACTATAAGGTACCGCGGCCTCAGCCTAAAACAGGAGAAAGAACAGATAGTTGATTTTTTTATGTAATTGATCGTCAAACGGGCAGACGGATTACCTGATGGTAAGCGATCAGCGCCGCCCATGGATACTCGCAACGGTGGAGTAATAAGTGCTTTGCCGACCTTTTGGGATTAGGGATTTGGAGATTTAGGGGTTGAGGAGGGATTGGGGGAGGGGAAGGATTGGGCCTCCGATAACCTCACTCACACGGCGAAACACAACGCAGTGGTTATTTCACGCTGGTTTTCTGTGAAGCCTTGGTATCACTCCGGTCGAGCCGACCCATTCGTGCCGAAGCATGGCTCTCCCACACTTATGATGTAGTCAATAAGAGTCTGAACAAGAGCCAAATTCTATTAATATTAAAAACTCCAAAGTTTGTATAGATGGGATAGATGTTTGTTACACATTTACGTAAAAACTACTTATTGGATTCGAATGAAATTTGGCATAGAGAAAGTCTACAATAACATAAAGGCTATATTATTTTCACCTCAATACTAAAGGAAGCCACTGAGGCTGATATTATTTTTATAGAAAACAGTCAAATCTCAAAATCGTTTATTTCATTTACAC